TCCTCACCCCTGCCTTTCCTGTTTCTGGTCATCCTTCTTTCCCAGCCCTCTGTGACTGTGGCCCCAGGTGGGTCAGCCAGCCCCTCTGAACCGGAGCTGTCTCCTCTGTGAGAGGGACTAAGATGAACTAACGTGGCCTTAGCTGGAGACTGGGCAAAGAACGGATGGAAACGAATGCCCTGGAGGCTGGCCCAGGGAACAGGCTGGCCTAGCACTTTTCTGTAAAGTGCAGTTACAGCGCTAACAGCTGGGGGAGTCTAGTCTGATGGTGCTGGTGAACTTGTTCAAATTCTGCTCAGCCAGTGTGGGTTCCGAAACAGTCCGAGGGCGAGGCTTGTGTGAATGGGAGCAATGCCGTTTCAGCAAATACACAAAAGCACCACGATTGGTCGAAATAGAGGCACTTCTCAGAGCCTGACCACTAGCAGAGTGCAGAAGGGCAGAGGGAAGCTATTCAGCCGCTGCTGGGCTGACTGCTGTTGGAGCCAGTCAGAGGCCCCCAGCCCACGCTGCCTGTGTTAGGGGTCGACTAGAGAGACAGATCCAGAATCACTCGTGTCTGTGCTGTTAGTCCATCAGCCCCTCCGCAGACTCCCACAGCCACACTCGACGTAGAATGCAGGAGATCCCAGGCCAGCGGGCGCCGAGGCCTGTGGCTCCGAGGGTGGTGGAAACACGGCCGGGCAGAGTCCCAGCCAGCAGGTGGGCAGAGTGGCAGAGAGCGAGGAGGGCCCCAGGGCCCGCCTCGGGAGAAAGCCACAGCCCAGGGAAGCTCCATCAGGCTGTGGCATCCACCAGACGCCTTCACACGTAGAACGATCTGACTGCCACGCTGCCCACCAGTCAACGCGGGTCATCGCCAGAGCGCAGCAGGCGGTGAATAGAAGCAGCCCGTCCTCAGGAAGCGGGCATGTCCGTGAGGAGAGGCAGACAGGGAACAAAGCCGAGAAGCCCTGACAGTCAGACACAGGCCCTGCATAAGGAAGGAGCCGTGGCCACCCGTGAGGAGGGCCAGAAACACGAAGTGCTGCGACCGTTGTCTCGGAGCGGACCCGCCTGTGTGGGCCCGGCAGCGAGTGGACAGGGCCCTCTCCTGGGTTCTTTCCCGGCTCAGCCGGGCCTCTGGCCCCTCCCTCCGTCCCTCCCCAGCTGCTGAGGAAGAGGCACATCGGGAACGACATTGTGACCATCATCTTCCAGGAGCCGGGGGCGCTTCCCTTCACCCCCCAGAACATCCGCTCCCACTTCCAGCACGTCTTCATCATCGTCCGCGTGCACAACCCCTGCTCCGACAGCGTCTGCTACAGGT